ACATTAGAGCAAACCTCAGCTGTAGTGATCAGATTTCGGACTGTAGCAACGTGTAATTGCAGAATATCGAAATTCACAATTACAATAATTTTGGCTTTACCATCGGCCAGGCAAATGAAAATGTTACCTTGTTTGCCAACCCTAAAACATGAAGCATATCATTCCCCATACGCGAAGCAATACACATCTAAATGTCGACCATGCAATTCCAAAGATCGTCACCGAGCTTTGTTGATGGTGATAGCCGGACAGGGAACTATAGTCGCTTGAATTGAAAGGGAGTATCGGAAATGACCGTTCAGAATTTTCGAATTTAATATGTGCCGTGGGACCGCCGATAAATCCAAAAATTAAAATAAAAATGTGTTGGAAAATTGACTGTCTTGTCTGTCTATTGCCTTAGGTACAATATGACGGACTCGCTTTCAATGTTGTATTGAATAGTGTGGTTGAGATCGTAGACGTAAGTGTAGTTTGGTTTATTTCAGTGCGAGGAAACTTCGCTCACTCGGTCACTTACGATCCCTATAGTTGATTCAAACGAAATTACAGAGGTTGTCGGGTAATGCAATCCGTCCAAAAGTCTGAGTAATTGATATTTTCAGTATATATATATATGTATATAAAACTCTCCAGATTTGATAAAGAAGCGAAGCGAATGGGTCTGGTAGTAAATGAGGGTAAGACGAAATATCTCCTGTCATCTAACAAACAGTCATAGCATTCGCGACTTGGCTCTCACGTCACTGTTGACAGTCATAACTTTGAGATCTTAGATAATTTCGTCTATCTAGGGAGCAGTGCCAACACCAAAAATAATGACAGCCTGGAAATCCAACGCAGAATCACTCTTGCCAATAGGCTCTGCTTTGGACTGAGTAGACAAGGGAAAAGTGAAGTCCTCTCTCGGCTAACGAAAATAAACTCTACAAGTCACTCATCTTTCCCGTCCCGCTATTTGGTGGGGAAGCATGGACGATGACAATATCTGATGAGTTGGCGTTAGAAGTTTTCAAGTAAAAGGTTTTTCGTAAGATTAAAGGCCCTCTACGAGTTGGTAAGGGCGCATACGAGACATGGTTCAGCGGCTACGCTGGACAGGGATGTCGCCCGAATAGATGGAAACACTCCAGCTTTGAAAATATACGATGTAGTACCCGCTGGTGGAAGTAGAGGAAGAGGACGGCCTTCACTCTATTAGTAGGATCAGCTGGAGAGTGTCCTGGCTTCACTTGGTATATCCAACTGGCGCCAGACCGCGAAAAGAAGAGATGAAGGACGCGCTAATATTGATTCGCCTATAATGGCGTAAGAGGTGCCATCGCCAATAAAGAAGAAAATATATCCACTCTTTATATCAAGCCGCCTCCGAACGGCTGATTGTTTTTTATAAAGAGCTTATTTCATATCAAATACACTCGGAAGGCTTGGCATTCCGGGCCTTTCGAAGGATAGCTCGCAATGGTACCACTTGACTATCGTGGCTACCAGTAACTAGCGTGAAGATACATCGGCCTATGTTGGCCTAGCTAAGGAGATTCCTTTCAGCTTTCCAAATACTCATGCCACATGGTCTGCTTTATGAAAATCAGATGACTAATCATGCCTACCGATGCACGCTTTGCAAGGCAATCAACCGCACTGAGAGCTGAGCAGCGGCAGGGGTAATGTCGATTGATCATCATCTATGTCCCTGCAGCTGCAAAACAACCGAAGTCGTTTGAGAAACAGCCCATCTTTCTACAATGAGTTCCCGGGTGTTATGCTTACGGAGGTCCCGAATAGAGATTTAATTCTGTTTATATCGAATATTGTCCAGATTTGCCTTGCACATTGCATGTGGTTTCGGTCCACCTTCGGTTGGTCCTTCTGGTGAAGGTTAGCTTTTGCTGAGTAAAGCGGTTTGCCCAGGTCTTGTGCAGATTTTACCGTGGTTATGACTTTTCCCCTTCTCGCCAGTTCGTCGGCTACGTAGTTGTCTGGTTTGTCACTATGGCCAGGGCTGCATACCGGGTACGTCGCGCTTATAGTCGAGAGTTTGTTTAAGATTTCTTTGCATTTCGTAACTGTCTGAGATTTTTGTTGAAAAAGTGTTGTCAAAAAAGAAGAACGGAAGTGGTGTAGTCCCCTTGGGCGCATCCTATATGGCTCCTGCAAATTTGAGTTGAATTTGATCTTTTGGCGTTATAACGCGCATGAAGTATCTGGTCTCGCGGAAATCGATTAAGCGTAATTTCAATGGCTTTCGTAGGAGTTGAGGGCAACACACTTGTAATGAGTACGGAGGCCATTCGTTGAAAATTTTCCAGCTTTCTCCTATAAGTAGCGTTATCTAGTCATTTTTCCTGCGTTTGTCATTACCTTTTCGAGCATCTCGGTTGTTCTAGCGTCGATTTTGGCAAGAATGTTTGAGCTCATCGATGGTTTGACGCTGGAGGGGGGTTAAATCAGGTGATCTGTCAGATGCTGCCTTTTTGCAGCGATATTTTTTCCGATATGCACGTTGAGTTAACACAATGGATCTACTGACTTCGATGTAAAGTGTTACTATTTCAGCGCGTTCTTTCGGTGTGAAGCGATACATGGCAAAAATTGTACTGAATGAACGTTTCCAAAACATATCTGATGCAATCGCTCGGTTCATAAATGTGAACGTTATTTAGTGTTTACATACCGACATAAAAGATGGAGCACCCTGTAGATACGAGCAGACCCGGCCACATGCTGTTGTGGCTTTCTGTATTATGTAGAGTTTTTATTTCATTAATATTGCAAAGGATGACAAAAATTCCTTTTTTTATTACAATATATTCCTTGCTACTCAAAGCCTGTCAAGTAAATGCCAATCGGAACTATGCTTGAACATATAAGAATGGCTTGTAACTCGTGGACCCAGAATAATAACATTGCACAGAGAACATACTTACTTACATACGATCTAAGCATGGTATAAAAAATTTTTGTCCATAAATTGGGAATAAAAATGTTTTTTTTTTTTGGAAAAAAATAAAGGTTTGAAGGTGCAGTTTTGGGCTCAAACCATATAAAAATTAAAAAAAAAACTTTGTTCAAAAAGGAAAAAAATAGAGGGTGTTATGTTATGGTCAGACCTACTGAATATGCACATAAAATTTCATTGAAATCAGTCAAACCCTTTCAGAGGATTTTCGTGTCTAACGTTGTGACGCGAGAATTGGGTTACCTCAAAAGAAACCGCTGATTTTTCATACCGATATATTTAGATACCACATGAATTGAAAGAAATTCTTTTGACAAACCGCTTCAACGCTTATGATTTGATTCTTAAACGCATTGATTATGATGAGTCTTTGAAGCAATTGTTTACAATAACGCCGATGGAAAACGATCATAGTCCGAGCATGAAGAAGAGCCACAAGCCACTTCAAAGGCTGATGCCCATCAAAAGAAGATTAGCTGTCAGTTTGGTAAAATTGGAAGGGTGTGGCATATTTGGAGCCGCTTCTACTGTGAACAACTGGACAAATTGAATACATCCAACGACGAGAAGCGGACAGAATTAGTCAATCGTAAAGGTATCATATTCCACCAGGACAATGCTAGACCGCACACATATTTGATCACTCGACAAAAACTGAGAGAGCTTGGTTGGGAACTATTGATGCATCAACCAGATCTCCATTTCCTTTTTTTCGATCTTTGCCGAACTCATTAAATAGTTCAGTTTTTGCAGATTAAGGGCAGAAGTTATATGAGCGTGGAATAGTGATGCTGCCGGAATGATGACGTTCATTATAAAATTAAAAAAAAAAATGTATTTAATTTCTTTTAAAAACCCGCCGGGGGTTCTTTTGAGGTAACCCAATAGATATGCACGTAGAGACATTTAAGTATGGATGCATATACTTGCTTCTGGGTCTCTTAAGGATTTATTAGAGTATGGTCATTATGTATGTACAAACACCCACAGCAAAATCTGAGCAGAAATTGACGCCCACTCACCAACACATACATACACGTATGTATGCATCTGCAACAATGGCAAGTTTTACTTGTGAGAAAGTGCTGGTGCGTGAGTGCGCCTGTGTGTATGTGTGAGCGCATACAAATGTTTTTAATTCTTATCACTAGCTAATACGGTATATTTTTATTGTACACGTATTTTGTTGTCTCATTTTCGTAAAAAATTGCTCTAATCAACACAACTGTCTCATGTCGGCACAAAACACTGTTGTGCGTGTGTGTGTACTCGCATGTGTGTGTGCTTACATTTGTGTGGTTTTGTGAGTTTCAATTTTTGTTTTTTGTTTTTGTTTTTACTTTTGGCGAATATTGGCGCGGGAGAACCAACCAAACAACGCGACGCCGTTAATAGCAATTTTCTCTGTTATTGTTGATAATGCCATGCCATGCCATGCTTTGCCTTGCCTTACCCTGCCTTGCCATGCCATGCCATGATGTGCACATGAACACAGCACTACTCATGCATACTCATACATACCATGTGTGTACATACTTACATACAGTATATCTCAAATGAAAATATGCTACAATGTATTAAACTCACATGCACACACTCAGGCATACTTATACGTACGTGTACACCTTGCGCGGCTATTAACTATTTGTCCGCTATTGTTGTTGTCAATTTAATTTTCTTTAGTGTTTTATTTAATGTTTTGTTGCAAGTTTTTCTCTTCTTGAGCACCAACCACATTGACCATAGTTTTATTAAGCTCAAATAGATATTTTTATATGTATGTATATACATACATACATACATACATATATATGTACAGATTTATATGATTTTGAATAGGTAGCCAGGTATTAAGTGTTCTTCGCCGGGTGTTCAGTTCTTTCGCGCCTCGCAAATATTCACACACACACCCACACATATACATGCCTATTCACAACGCAAGCAGCAACAGTAGTATACATATGTATGTGCACGAATGTATGCATAAAAAAAAATTGCTGGCTCTTGGGTTTGTCAATTTGAAAATTTTTAGTTCAGTAAGCGTTGAGATTTTGTTCGCTACGGTTTGCTTGCCAACACATCCTAATCCATTTGGCGGTGGCTTAGTAGTAGTGTTTGTTTTGTTTGTTTGTTTGTTTGTTAGCTGTCCGCTATTTTGTCATCTTCGCCTGATTGCTCGATAGCTCGAGGCGGTGTCCTGTGACAGATAGACAAGTGAAGCACTTTGATTATTGGACGCTGTTATTTTTTTTTTGCTTTACCACGAAGGAAAACAACTAAAATATTAATATAAGTTCTTACAAAGTGTCAACCGTTTACAACAAGTACGCTGTGTGGATTTGCTAAAAATTCCTTCTTCATACAACGAACAGGAGAAAACGCTGGAAAAAATGGTCACAAAAGTGATTTTCACCTTTGGTAAATACTTTTCAACTCTATTCGTTTGCAATTTACATAAATTAAGTTAAGCAAAAATTGTTGCCTTACAAATTGCTTTAAAATTAACCGGTAACTGCATGCAGGTATGCCAAAAAAACAAGGAAGCAAGGGCTTGAAGCCGAAAGAGGGATCAATGGTGGTTTCAGTTAGTGGGAATTGAGCTCAGCGAGGACTCACACTGCACTTTCCAAAACTTTAGCACAGCTACGATATTTCTTTTTATCCCCTGATAAATCATATTTTGCCTTCTTACCTTACTAGTAAAATTGATTACTAATTCTTGAAGACTTTATTTATTGTATTTTTTTCAAACTGAACGCCAGTTTAACTTGCATTTTTTTTTTAATATTTTTTTGCGAAAAAAAAATTTGGAAAAAATAAAATTCAATCAGTTTCATTTTGTAGTATATTATCAGTAGAATCTCAGCTTGTACAAAAAAGGTATTTCTATTTTTATTTATTTATTTAATTTATTCATATTTTTTTTTATTGAAATTTGTTTTTTCGTCTCAAAAAAAAAAGGTGGTGGCTGGGCCCGGCAATTTAGTCGCTGACGACATCTGAAACAGAAAATCAAAGAGAAAAGTATTGTTCTGTGAGTTTGTCATTCTGGTTGGAATTAGGAATTAAACAATTTCGTTGAAAACTAAAAAAAATTTCGAGTTCGAAAAAATTTTAAGGTAGAAATCAGGCTGTAAAATGGAAAGTAAGCGTTTAAAAAGTATTTTAGTTTCTGCGAGAGTTATTGATGACTAGAATGCCATATGTATTCAATCATCCGAGCCGACTGTTTGGAATATTGTTTCGAGGAAAACGCTTTTGTAGCATCTCTGCTTAATAAACGCAACGAGATCATTTCGTTTCGCCAACAAGAAAAATGAATTCAATGAAATGAAATCGTTTCGTTTCGGCATCAAAATAACAGAACTAAATGAAATCGTTAACGTTAAGCTGATTTAACAGTTAAACATTAGCGACAGCTTTTCGTTTCGGGTAAAAACGAAAAGAAATTTATTTTGATAACTGCTTTAATAATTACATTTCCAAATGTTTCAACCAAATCAATTGAAGTGTTTTTGAAAACGAAATTTATCGTTACGATGTAGCCTTGATTTGCAGCTGCCTTGCGCCTCAGCGCGTACTCCTATGAGACACCCACGTATTGGTGCTATAGCTTCGTCAATATTTCAAATATTGTTCTAATATTTTAACAGTGTATTTTGAATATATAATACTTTCGAAAAAAAGTATATTTTTCCAAACCAAGTTACCAAGTTATTTTTTCAAGGACTCGGAAAGATAAAAAACAGACAGCTTTCTTCCGCCATGGGGAAGTCTTTATGTCCTTAATATATAAAATTAAATGTATAATATAGGGTTTTCCAATAAGAGGTGTCATTTTTATATTCAAAGAAGAATTGAATTTTTCGAGCTAACCGATCGGATGTTTATTTCAATGTAAAGAAGAAGATAATGACATTAATAATGGAATACAATTTCAGCCAAATGACTTAGAGAATCGTATCCTTTATTGGGAATTTTCCATCGCAAAGTCGCTGCTGGATACCCGCAAAAGCTTCACGAATTCCATTTTCGAGGTTTTGAATGTGGGTGTAGACCTTATCTTTCACGTGATCACAAAAGAAGAAGCCGCAAGATGTTAAATCCGAAGACCTACGTGGCCAATTGCGATCACCTCTTCGTGAGATCACAAAGTATCTTCAAAGAACGATGATTTCGTTGTTTGCGTGGCAACGTAGCGCCGTCTTGTTGAAAGTAAACGTTGTCCAGATCAATACCATCCAATTCCGGTTTTAAAAAATCCTCAAACATCTCATGAAAGCATTACCTGTTCACCGTAATTATTGCTATAGCCTTCTTTTCCAAGAAGTAAGGTGCAATTAGCCCGCCGCACCTTAATAAGCAATAAATCTTGGGTTTCAGAGCCTCAGTTGCGACAGTTTTGCTTATTGACGTATCCATCGAGATGAAAATGGGCTTCATCGGTCAAGCTGATTTTTCGAGGAATTTCCGTATCAGTTTCAGGCCACAGCACAATAAGCAAAGACGTAAATTTGTTGATGATCGGCCGGCTTGATTTCTTGTGTTAACTGAACTTTCTAAGGCTTAAAACCCAAGTCTTTATACAAAATACGTTGTAATGACGTTTGTAGAATGTCCAATCGGTTTTTCGAATGAGTTTTCTGCAACACTTTAGACCACATCAGCAATATTCTCAGTTGTTCTGACTTGTCCCAACAACTCCTTATTTACACAGATTTCTGTATTGCGCTCCGACTAAGTGTCTCACGGCGGCCGAAAAATGTTTGTTTATCTCTGCCAGATTTTCGCCAGTTCTATAATGAATTGAAATAAATTCAAGGTGTAGTTGAAGCGTGTCTCGTTCCAATTTGGTTACTGGCGTAGATTCACTTGTGAAATGTCGAAAAACTACAGCTTCAAAGGTGACATCTACCGGATTAGTATACAATTCAAAATAACATCTCTTATTGGGAAACTCTTTATTTAGTTTAAAGATTAAATATTAAATCAAACTTCTGAAAAATTGGTAGGAGTATCAACATTATATTGTCCTCAGATTTCTATGTTTTCTACCAAATTTCATGCTTTTTTTTGACAAATTTTTACGACCCAAAATGTGAAAAATCTGTCGTATACTCGTCTATGCTACAGTGGTTCGAACGGGACGGTTCTGACAAATCATCGCTTGAATGTACCAGTTCAACTGTGTGTTTGGTTAAAATATCTGAAAAACTGAATGAGTGGTTTGCGTACAAGCGGACGTACAAGCGCACATGTCTACATCAACTCAACTCATGATTTTGATTATGTTAATACCGGTACTTACAGCCAACCTATCGCAGTTAATCTTCCATTCCGTGTACTTCAAAGATATAATAATATTTATTTACGTTAAGTTAACCGGCTGAAACGCCTTACAACCACCCGTCGGACATTTGCAGTGCCAGATGGAGGTTCATTTTATTGCGACGACTACCTGACGTCGTATAGGGCGTTAAAGCTTTTTTTGAACTTCGAGAAATTTCAAAACCTCTTTTAGTACTTTCAACTGCGAAACATCGAGATATCTAAGAAGAGAAAGAGAGGAGGCGCTTTACATATACCTTCCCCCTTGCACTTTAAAACATGTGCTACCGCTCCGAACGCCCGTTCTGCTTGCATGGGATGCCAATAGGTTAGGCCAGCAACTGTTCTGCATGGTTGTTTTACATGTCGCTTGGAATGTATTCATATATTTAGTTCTGATTCGGTATCCAGCTCTTCGGATGGAACTTTCATCAATGTCATCAGCTTCTTAGGACTTTTTCTGACGCAATATTTTTAATCTGAGATTAATGCCGTCTGGAATAAAAATTGCTATCTGGCTCTATGAAAGAGTAGGCTAAGGAGTTTACTTTTCACCGCTCTCAAACAGTTTTAATTTGAGGCTACGAAACTTTTACAATCACAGAAGTCGCAGAAAGGTTGCTAGAATATCTGGTTACAAACCAGCTAATAACTATTTACTAGGGTAGCCAAGGCAACTGTATGGCAGGTGAGTTAGCGTGAGAAGGTACCACCTTAACTGAAACAAACACGTCGCAGTTATACCCTACGGCAAAACTCATGCTTCAGCTTTAGCCAAAAAACCAGCACCATATGGCTTAACGAAAGTACTTGTAAGTTGCCTAAACAGTTTTGTTCAGTGTTGGATGGTGAAAGATCAAAAATTTTAATCATAATGGACCGGTTCACGTGGATGGACCTGGTCTACTAACTGGACACTTTTAAATGGGATATCACAGTAGGAGAATGGGATACTTTTCGCAAGATTTTTTTCGAAATTGCAGGGACGAAGAAGAGGAAGAATCTGTCGAGCACTTCCTCTGCCCCGTCTAGCCCTAAATATCACGCGACATAGATAACTTCTTTTATTGCCTGACTGTGGTAGAAATGTTAAAAATTGATATAAATAAATTAAATTACTTTGTATTCGAACGATGCGGAATTGAAATTGTGAGTTTTACATAACTTTTTTTGTTATGTGTAAATATGATATATATTTCAATTTAATTTTTTCTTTGAAAATTAAATTATTACTTTGCATTTTACAATAGTTATTTTTTCGGCGGTAAGCATTTCCTTATTATCAAATCTATTTTTACGATTTCACTGCGATCACTATGTAAGTAAGGCAATAAATATGCTGAATTGGCAATATTTGAGTTTGCCGTACATGAAAGTTTTTGACCAAAGCAATCAAAATTAATATTCATACATACATATAGCCGTTTACAAATGCACGGCAAGCCAATGCAAAAAAAAACATTATTGCAATGTGAATAACAATAATTTTGGCATATCTCAAACTGGTTGCTCGGAAGTGTGCAAGTTTCGAAGTCTTCCTGCATAGAAAATTGAAGGAAAATTAGGGCTTAATAGTTTATTATTATTAAGTAAATATATATATGTAAATAAAATTATTATGGTTTTACATTTTCATAAATAAAATATAATAAGTATCACAGACTTTAAGTGCACTTGTTGAAAATTCTTTTTATTTACGTTTGATTTTCAAGATAACAAAATAACTAATTCAAGAACTATTTATTTATATTTATGGCAAAAGATTAACTTTGTATTTGCAACAAAGGCGGATGATTAAGATTAAATTTTAAAGCAAGAAAATTATCAGTTCCACCATTGGAATACATTTATCAGCAAAACGATGGGGAAAATATATTTTTATCTCTTAAACATGTCTAAATTGCCGCCGCATGTTGTCACTGTCAGGTGGAACTCAGTTTCTCTAGCATTATGACAGTGATCGATTATACAATTTTCCAGATAATTACTTTGTAAAATTTTGTTAAAGAAATGTGCTATGAATGCTGATGTTATCACTGTGAGGAAAATCACAATGATTTCCATATTTTGCTGAGAAAATTACTATGTTTGTCATTCATTTATGTTTATGCCAATGACATATATATAATTGGCGCTTTGTAACCGCTGAAGTGATTTTCCGCCGAGCTCCTCCTCAAATTTGAAGTTTTGCGTCTTGATGTTTTTCCAACGAATGGAGGGACCTAAAGTTTATACTAAGCCGCCTCCGAACGGCTTGGTTTTTTATGAGGAGCTTTATTTCAAGTCAACCACATTCCCTACAGAGGGAATGGATGTTGGTCGCACGGGGACTTGAATCCGACCCTTTCGAATGACAGTACGCAATGGCCAAATACCACTAACTCAATTGGACTCCGGATAGGCATTACCCTTCTGCTGTAACTACACTTTATGTTTGCAAAACGGCGATAGGAGAAATGTGGGATCTAAAACCCGCAAATCGTTGGCAGCTATCCTCGTGCAAGGAGGCACTGCTAACTCTCTTCAACTTTCACCCTCTGGATCTGTATAGCAACGCAAGCCGACTGATGGCAACTCAACCTGGAAGGGGAAATCGTGGTACTCGTCGACAGAGCGTCTCTCCCCCCCACAAATCGAACACCAAATTTGCACTCCTTTATATCGCCGCTGTTGTAAATGTCACAAGGACCAACTCGCTTCTGTTCTTGTCCCATCCATTGTACTTCTTAAACGGCGGTAATGTCAGCTTTTATTCCAACAACAACCTACTGGGCAGCGGCATCTTCCCAATTAAAGGATCAAACATTTCGGGTGCATACCCTCAAATCGTGATCCTTAATTCGCTTGCGGTGGTTCAAAATGGAAATATCTCAGGTACTACTTTGGGTTTCGAGGTTTGGTACTCAGGAAATATCAACTAAATAGTTTTCATGAATTATATATTACAGGCATCATGCTACTGCCGTGGCGTATACGTAACTAACCAGGCGTTCAGTGTTGCTCATCTTAAATTGTAATATAATCGCAATAAATAATATTTTATTTATAAAATAAAGAAATTCCTAAACTAATGTCAAATTAATTAATTATGTGAAGCATTATGGGCGAGATCAACCCGGCGGCGAAACGATGCTTCGTATGAAAATGTCAAACAATGTCACGAAGTTAAACCAGACTACAACCCGAAGGCGCTCTTGGACATTCCTCTGAGGGCTCTAAGTTTTATGGTGGTAGGTTTATGTGAAAATTGTCCACAAAATATAACCATACTGGAACATATGAAAGGAGGCCAATTGTGCTTTAAGCACTTGAAGCCGTGCTAAATTTCTAAAAGATCTACGATCCAATTGCCTGTGCTTTTGCAGGTAGATATTGTAACCACGGTTACCGCTTTGGCCGAAATTTGACAGCGTTTAAGGCGTTCATTTGGTCACACAAGAATTCAGCGTAATACAAGTCACAGGAAGACAGAATAGTCGGTGATCGCCTTAGGCCACGACCTCTAATATTCGTCGCTGGACATTTCAAGAATGTGTTTGATTTACTCATTCCCTTAGATTTAAGATAAATATTTTAGTGATCTCAATTTACTTTTTGCGGTATTTACATTTCTTTTAAAATCTCTGGCTCATAGATTTTTGGTGTTGTTTTCCACAAGCGGTTTTCTAAAAGAAATAAAACGCATATAATTTAATGAATTCAGTTTTATTAAAAATATAAGGGTTTGCCATTATGTTTGGAAAATCACTTCAGGTAGGTGAACGCCGATCCTGGACCGAATAAATTCGAGTCGAGTAATTTTGTCCGTATGTTAGAAATGCCGAGCAGATTCGTCAATCATATCCGGCTTATCTACGATAAGCGACTTCGCATAATCCCACCAAAATAATAGAGAAAGGTGAAATCGTCCGATCTTATAGGCCATATAACAGGCCCATGACGCGAGAGAGTGCACTCCCCAAAAATTGCCTACAAAAAAATTGATTATTTCGTTTGCTATAAGACATGTTAGTTGGAACCAAAGGTCGTCCTCATCAACATCATTCTATGCAGGCGCGAAAAAGGCACTAATCATGGCTCTATAACGTTCCCCATTGACTGTACGCTGAAACATTATGTCCGGCTTCTTTTTTTTTAAGAAATAAGGACCAGTGCTTCCTTCAGCCCAGATAGGACAACACACAGTGACTTTTTGACAATGTAACGGAGTCTCAATAGTGGCTTGCAGACTCTCACTCTAATTAAAGCTATGAGTCACCCGTCCTTTCCTCTGGTTAAAAATCTTTCTCCAAATTTCAACGTGACCTACTTCATAGTATGCGCTTTCCAATGCCGACCAGTTCGCAAAAAGTTCGTGCATAAAAAAAGTTAATTCATTAGAAAAATAATACAGGTTTTTTCAGTAAGAGGCACTATTTTGGTCTTCAGAGAAACATTTTCCTTAAAAGATTGGTGGTTTCTTCGCTGTTGCGGCACGTAGCGTCAACTTCTTGTGAGTAAACGTTGTCCAGATCAATACCATCCAATTCCGGTCATCAAAAATCATTAAACACCTCTCGATATCGCAATCTGTTAATTTTCAAAAAAGTAAGACCTAATGACCCAACTGAACTATAAAACGTACCAAACAGGCGCACGTTGAGGATGAAGCGTGTTTCCAATAACAAATCATGGGTGGTCTGAGCATCAGTTGCCACATTTTTGTTAATTAACATAGCCATCGAGGTACAAATGGGCTTCATCAGTCAAGATGAATTTCACAGTGAAATTTTTTAGGCATCAGCACAATCAGCAAAGATGCAACGCTCTTGATTATCGGCAAGCTCGATTTTTTGTATTAACTGAACTTTCTAAGCCTCAAAATCCAAGTCTTTAACCAAAATACAAAATACGTTGCAATGAGGTTTGTAGAATGTCCAAATCAAAAGAACGAAGAGAAATGAACAAACCAGGGTTTTCTGCAACACTTCGGGTTACAGCAGCAATATTCTCAGTTGTTCTTGAGCGATGTCACGTGTTTTATTCTTGCCATCACAGATTTGTCCATTTTTTACACCGAATTCTGTATTGCGGTCCGACAAGTTGCTTAACGACGTTCGAAAAACGATTTAGTTTCATAAACCATCTCTGCCAGGGCTCCACCATTTTTACAGTGAGTTTTAGAAAATTCAAAATGTTGTTGAAGCGTGCCTCGTTCCAATTTGGTTACTGGCGTAGATTCACTTGTCAAAGGTTAAAAAATAATAGCTTCAAAAGTGACATCTACCGGATTAGCAGGCAATTCAAAAGGACTCCTTTTATTCGACGAGCTGAGAAGCTTCTATTTTGTCGCTTAAAAAAGAATTACTACATTTATTCTTTTATTGAATTTCTCTAAATATACACACATATGTACAATACATAACATTGAGGAGTTAAGTAAAAAGTTCAAGCTAAAAAATAATTATTTATTTTTGCCTTCAAACTAATGCCTGGCATAAATGCTGGATTAATCACAACAAAAAGTACCGATTTGTTAGCATTAGAACTACAGTGTTAAATTGAATACTTCCATTGAAGATAAGTGTGTTATAACTGCACTTACTTACTTACTGTTACGTAACATATTACGATATTTCGATACAAAGAAGAGGATTACAGTACATACATACATACATACATATGCAAAAGACATTTTGTGAGTACTTTCCCCAATACACCAGGTGATTCATTATAATTATCAATCAAATAATGAACTGTTACTTTTATCTCAAAAGTATCGAAATAATACCATACTGGACAATCATGTGTAAATGTGTATATAACTGTGTTTAATTGCTAATAACCAAATACTGATATTGTAGGCAATAAAAATGTACGCTTGTTTATGTGAATCAATATTTGTACCGAGAAATGGGTGTTTTACAACTCACAACAACAACAATTGGGGAAAAGTTTACCCCAAAATCGTTACTATACGAGTAAATGTACAAACATCTGTATTTGCAATACATATATATTACATATATAATATATCTTAAAAATGCTACTGAGAGCATGCTAAACATTTTAAAGGGCGCAATATATTATATTTACATACAAATTTATAGATTTAAAAATACATACGTACAATTACATATAAAGGTATTTATAGCACATTTCAATAGATTTTAAAAATAGACTTTTTTCAATTTTTTATTTTTATTTTCTATTTTTTATGGGGGATTTTCGGACAATAGAGCGTCGCCTAAAAATAAGTATATAAAGGTCAACGTAAATGCTATGGGAGATTTATGTATACACTCATACATACACACGCATATACATACATATATGCATAAGCTTACAATTCAGCAAAGCTTGTGGCGGCTGTTTTTTTTTTTGTTTTCGCACTCGAATGGAAATTTTTTTTAATTTAATTACCGTTAAAAATTCGCATATATCCATGTATGCATTCAAAACTTGGCTGTTAATTGTAATATGATAGGTGGGAGATAGAACCGTTAGTAAACTAAGTATTTTTTATACCATTCATTTACCTGAAATGCTCCGATGTATCATATGTAAGTACCAGCGTGCATTCGGAAGGTCAGTGTTCGAGTCGTGGTGCAACCAATATCAAAAAAAAAAAAAAAAATTAAAAAAATTAAAAAAATAAAATAAAAAATACTAATGAAAATTAATTGAAATAAAAAATTTTGTTGAATTTTCTAATTGCGGTCGCTCCTTTGCAGGGAATGTCAACCCCTCGGCGTGTACTTCTGACATGAAAAAAAGTGTCCTCCGAGTGCATTTCTGACATGAAATAAAGCCCCTCATAAAACAGCCATCAGCCGTTCGGAGGCGGCTTAGTATAAAGTGTAGGTCCCTCCATTTGTTGGAAAAAATATCAAGATGGAAAAACCACAAATTTGTGGAGGAGCTCGGCGGAAAATCGCTTCAGCGGTTACAAAGCGCCAATTATATATATAATTCGACATATTCGCTCATACTCACTGGGTGGCATCTTGTTGAAACCTCTTATTGTCCAAATCGGGTTATTGTAGGCCAACAAAAATGAATATCACACGACCATAATGCACCGAGTTGACAATGTAGCCTCGACTCCCGCTCTTGTGGTTGAGCCCCAAATGCGATAATTTTTGTACTTTACCTATGTCACAAGTGAGAACTTTGCAACGGCGCTGGTTAGTTCAAGCATCCAATCGACGTACATATGTAAATACGTTATAATGTGCCGTAAGAAAGTCCCAACTCTTGAGAATGGCGGGAAATAGACAAATGTGCAAATTTTCACTTAGCGTAGCGATATTTGAGGTGGGGCGAGCAAAAAGATGATTAACAGGCTATACAATAACTGTAACCGATTCAGTTTCTTCAAATTTCTTTAAAATCTTAGCAGTTGCCTGAGTAGTCCTCTCTGAGAGTCCGATCTATTTTCATAAATGCGTGGCTTTTAACTAAAACAAAATATGTTTGGTTTAGTAGTTAAGTTTGTGAAATATCCAAAATGTTCTTTTGAAACCACGAAATGGACACATTCCTATCTACAAATAAACATGCCACCGAAAATCATCGAAATCGGAAAACTTCATCATTTAGCCCACTCCAACTGATTTCCCAGCCATGGAAATTAATATTCAAACCTAAAGGGATTTGGTAATGAAAGGTATAAAAACTTCGGCATGACCAAAGACAGCTCTTCCGTATGTGTTGGTTACATTTTCTCTCTCAGAAGCCGTCACCGACTGCTGGGTGCATGAAATATTTTAATGAATATACTTACATATATGTGTATGTATATATATATACATGTACACATGTGCAACATTATCATTTAAAATCAAATTAAATTATGATGATTTTCATTATTTTCATATTTTTCCCTTTGAACTCTCTTTTCTTCCTTCGCACCTACTCTCTCCTTCTCTCCTTTTCACACCAAACTACTTTCCTCCATTATTATTAATTCATCACTTCTGTGCAAATTTACGGTCAATTATTAAATACTCAAACCCACAA